TTTTCAGCTTTCTACTGATATCTAAAGTACTAATCATCACATTTCAATGAATCTAGAATTATGCAGACCCAATTAGTTTCCGGTAAATATTTGTGCATATTAATCACTAATTTGCATAATTAACCAACTTTCACACTGATATCTCAGGTACTAATCATCACATATCAATGAATGTACATGGATGCTGTAGGACAATAGACAGACCTGAATAATTGTGGGTTAAAATCTGTACATATTAATTACCTAATTTGCATAATTAACCAATTTTAAGCTTTCACACTGATATCTAAAGTACTAATTATTCCATTTCAATGAAACTTAGTACAAAAGATGCTCTAGGACAATGTACAAACTTAATTAGTTTGGGGTAAAAATCTGTTCATAATAATTCCCTAATAAGCATAATAATTCATAATTTTTTGGTTCTAATCACATTTCAATTACACTCAAATCTGGTCATATTAATTTTCTGATTTGCATAATTAGTTTTCAGCTAAGTAATTTCGAATTATATTTAATGTGTCTCCAATACTCTCAGCACATGGGAGTTCTTTCTAAGCTTTCTTTGATTTGACTTCTTCTTGAAAACTATAAGCTTGATTGCTTTGATATTACATATATAGGTACTACATGTGGACCTCTCTCAGATTTGTTCATTTCATGATGATATCTTCAATTATGTAATTTTGATGATTGTTTTTGTCATTTTTGGTGAAAAGTGATATTTTTAAATTCTTGTTGAAAGTCCCATTGCTTTGATACTATACATATTGTTCATTTTCTAATGATATCTTCTGTTCTTTCATTGAAATGTGCATTGCTAACAGCGGAGCTATTCTCAGCCGTCAGGCTGCTTGTTTCCTATATGTTACATTCAACTTGTCAAAAATCAGTGAAAATAAATTCCATACAAAAACACTCAAAAAGTCTATTCAGCGAAAATTAATTCCAGCTAAAATAAAGTATTTTACATTTTTTTTTACGTATTAGCAAAACTAAAACCCAGTGAATAATAAATGCATTTACAGTATATACATGTTATATTTTTCCACTTTCTTGGAGAAGACAATTGCGAGATTATTGGCCCATATTCTCGATAATAATGGATTTCAGTCTATTCTACCATTCATGCAGCTGGCACAAGTTATTCTATCATGTTGAATTTGCGACACGTTTAAAATATGTCCACAGTTACAAACGCAACGCAACGCTAAAATCTGAATGTTTATTCTATTAATTATTGTATGCTGGATCATTAAAATAGGATTTATTTTTATTCCCCCTTATTTTTCATAAGTGCATTTGCTACAATTTATAAAAAACATTTTTGGCAGAATGGGCAATTGTTTCTTATTCCTATAGTATAAAAACAGTAAGACATTTGTCGCTCTAAGTTGCTTCTTATTGTGATTACCACAGTGCCTTTCTTCTATCTCCTTGTACTTTGCATAACTAAAGTACCACCACAGTGTGACATGTTATCGCATTTTTAGCTCCGCTGTCAACAAAGTCGACACAGCGGAGCTGTTCATATTACTGATTGTCCGGTGTCGTCGGCGTCAACTTTACAATTTCAACTTCTTCTTCGAAACCGCAGGTCAGAATGTTTTCAAGTTTGATATGCAAGTACCTTGGATGGTTCTTTCTCAGATTTGTTCATTTCATGTCAAAATCTCAAACTCTCTAGTTTTGGTGAATATTTTTGTCATTTTTGGTAAAAAGTGATATTTTCGAATTCTTGTAAAAACCATAATCATTTATGGTGAAAAATGATATTTTTGAATTTTTGTTGAAAACAGCAAGTCCCATTGCATTGATACTATGCATATTGTTCATTTTCTAATGATATCTTCTGTTCTTTAATTGAAATATGCATTGCAAACAGCGGAGCTATCTCAGCCGAGAGGCTGCTTGTTGGTAAAAAGTGATATTTTTGACTTCTTGTTGAAAACCGCAAGTCTGATTGCTTTTATATTACATACATAGGTACTACATGCAATTAACTAATTTTGATGATTTTTTTGTTG